TATTTTACTAATTTACACTAATTGAAATTTATATTTACACTAATAGATATGTATATTTAACTCTATGTAAATTTTTTTTTTTTTTTTTTAGACGGAGTCTCGCACTTGTTACCCAGGCTGGAGTGCAATGGCGCGATCTCGGCTCACCGCAACCTCCGCCTCCCGGGTTCAGGCAATTCTCCTGCCTCAGCCTCCTGAGTAGCTGGGATTACAGGCACGTGCCACCATGCCCAGCTGATTTTTTGTAGTTTTAGTAGAGACGGGGTTTCACCATGTTGACCGGGATGGTCTCGATCTCTTGACCTCCTGATCCATCCGCCTCGGCCTCCTAAAGTGCTGGGATTGCAGGCTTGAGCCACCGCGCCCAGCAACTCTATGTAAATTAAAACTAAAAGTCTGTGTGTGTTTACAAGCATACAGGCCAAATAAAAAAGAATATGGAAGAGATTTTTAAAAGTATTTATTCAGGACTCAGATATTTGTAAATTTTATTTATAATTGCATATAATTTTATTATTACAAAAATGACTGTACTAACAATCTACTTGTATATTTTTAAATAACTAAAACTATAGAATTGAATTCTTTGTATTAAAAAAATAATTTTAGGTGACTGATATCTCATTTAACCTAATATGATTATTATATATTGATGTCTCTATCAGAGTATGTATTTTTAACAGATATACATAACATAAATGTTATGTGACCACAAAAATTAACAGTAAATTTAAAGGCAATAAATAAATAAATAAATAAATAAATTACCTACAGGAACAATATCTCTTAAGTTATTTGCAGTTTTAAGTCACTGGCAAAAAAGATGTTAGTCCATTATTTAACCAAATAGTGTATTCTTAACCATCTTTTACCTACACCCTTGAGTAAAGGGGACTAGGTTAAGTGGAATAATAAGACTTAATTGAATGTGAAATATTTAAAATATAAAAAAGGTTGAATTAAGAAATTAAATTCACATGTAATCTAAAATTATTAACTTGTACTACATTTTGTTTCATAAAAGTAAAATTAGTAAACTAAGATACTACTAATTTATTTTAGCATTTTTAGCTTCCATATATTTTATTGTATCAGGTTATATGAAAAATCACTTGGTTGCCAGGCAAAAAAACAAAAGAAAGCTTCTTGTAATGTTTAAACAAAACACATGCATCTTGAAGGCCTCTTCTCTTATAAATATTTATCTTAATGGTGAAATAGAGCATTGACAGAAGTGCATTTTGGCTCTGTTAGGATGTTTTGAATAGAATCAAATGGTGCAGTGGACAGGTATAAGTAATTATTTAAAAAAATCAAAGTGCATCTCTTTTACTTTTTAAGGAAATTTTTTAGCAATTGAAAAAAAAATTTTTTATTGCATTTTAGGTTTTGGGGTACATGTGAAGAACATGCAAGATTGTTGCATAGGTACACACATGGCAGTGTGATTTGCTGCCTTCCTCCCAATCACCTATATCTGGCATTTCTCCCCATGCTATCTCTCCCCAACTCCTCACCCTCCACTGTCCCTCCCCTATTACCCCCCAACAGACCCCAGTGTGTGGTGCTCCCCTCCCTGTGTCCATGTGTTCTCATTGTTCAACACCCGCCTATGAGTGAGAACATGCGGTGTTTGATTTTCTGTTCTTCTGTCAGTTTGCTAAGAATGATGGTTTCCAGGTTCATCCATGTCCCCACAAAGGACACGAACTCATCATTTTCGATGGCTGCATAATATTCCATGGTATATGTGTGCCACATTGTCTCTGTCCAGTCTGTCATCGATGGGCATTTGGGTTGGTTCCAGGTCTTTGCTATTGTAAACTGTGCTGCAATGAACATTTTTGCGTGTGTGTCCTTACAGTAGAACGATTTATAAACCTTTGGATACATGCCCAGTAATGGGATTGCTGGATCAAATGGAATTTCTATTTCTAGGTCCTTGAGGAATCGCCACACTGTCTTCCACAATGGTTGAACTAACTTACACTCCCACCAACAGCGTAAAAGTGTTCCTAATTTTTTTAAGATGTATTCTCACTCTCTTTCCCAGGCTGGAGTGCAGTGGCATGATCTTGGCTCACTGCAACCTCTGTCTCCTGGGTTCAAGTGATTCTCCTGCCTCAGCCTCCCAGGTAGCTGGGACTACAGGTGTGCAACACCAAGCCTGACTAATTTTTGTATTTTTAGTAGAGATGAGGTTTCACCATATTGACCAGGCTGGTCTCAAACTCCTGACATCATGATATGCCTGCCTTGGCCTCCCAAAGTGCTGGGATTACAGGTGTGAGCCACCACACATGGACAATTTAATTTTAGCTAAAACTAAAAAATTTGTCTCTTAATGTAGTGCAGAAGAATATTACTCTGGACACCTGCTTCATACATCACTCAATATTGTAAGTTAACCACAAAGAATCTTTTTACTCACATTTTCATCATGCATTTTACATTTTAATGTACTTACTCTTTCATAAAAGAGGTCATAAATGCTCACCTACAAAAAAATAATCTCCTTTTCTTTTTTTCAGATGGAGTTTTACTCCTGTCGCCCAGGATGGAGTGCAGTGGTAGGATCTTGGCTCAGTACAACCTCAGCCTCCCAACTGGCTGGGATTATAGGCATGCACAACCACGCCTGGCAGATTTTGTACTTTAGTAGAGATGGGGTTTCTCCATGTTGGTCAGACTGGCCTTGAACTCCCAAGCTCAGGTGGTCGACCCACTTCAGCCTCCCAAACCGCTGAGATTACAAGTGTGAGCCACTGTCCCTGGCCAATCTCTCAGATCTCTGATGCAGCAACAATTAGTCACATGCTTTCATGTATAAATATAATAGGGTAAAGAAACAGGATGGGCCAGGTACAGTAGCTAGCACCTGTAATCTCAGCACTTTTGGGGCTGAGCTAGGCAGATCACCTGAGGTCATGAGTTTGAGACCAGACTGGCCAACATGACAAAACCCCATCTCTACTAAAAATATAAAACACAGCCAGGAGTGGTGGTAGGTGCCTGCAATGCCAGATACTTGGCAGGCTGAGGCAGGAGAAGCACTGGAACCCAGGAGGTGGAGGTTGCAATGAGCTGAGTTCATGCCACTGCACTCCAGCCTGGGTGACAGAGCAGGACTCTGTCTCAAAAATAAAAATAAGGCTGGGCACCGTGGGTCACGCCTGTAATCCCAGCACTTTGGGAGGCCAAGGCGGGTGGGTCACGAGTTCAAGAGATCGAGACCATCCTGGTCAACATGGTGAAGCCCTGTCTCTACTAAAAACAAAAAAAAAATAGCTGGGCATGGTGGCACATGCCTGTAATCCCAGCTACTCAGGAGGCTGAGGCAGGAGAATTGCTGGAACCCATGAGGCGGAGGTTGCAGTGAGCCGAGATCACGCCATTGTGTTCCAGCCTGGGTAACAAGAGCAAAACTCCGCCTCAAAAATAAATAAATAAATAAAATAAAATAAAAATAAACATTTATTTAGCATGAAGTACTTTGAGAGATAATTACAATATTATTAGTATGAAGTAATTTGAGAGTTAATTACAATGTTGTAATCTTGCCAAAAAATAAGAATACTTGTAATTATAATTCTCCAAAAAAAACTTTTATTATTTTAAAGTTATATACAAATAATTTTTCTACCAACTGTAGTTTTGGATTATTTTTTAAACTCAGAAATCTGATTTACTGTGTTAGTGCCTTATACATTTCTTGTTTTTTGTTTTTTGTTTTTTTTTTTGAGACAAAGTCTCACTCTGTTCCCCAGGCTGGAGTGCATGGTGCAAGCTTGGCTAACGGCAACCTCCACCTCCCAGGTTCAAGTGATTCTTCTGCCTCAGCCTCCAAAGTAGCTGGAACTACAGGCACATTCTACCACACCTGGCTAATTTTTGTATTTTTAGTAGAGATTGGGTTTCATCATATTGACCAGGCTGGACTAAAACTCCTGACCTCATGATCCACCCACCTCGGCCTTCCAAGTGGCTGGGATTGCAAGTGCGAACCACCATGCCTGGCCCGCCTTATACATTTCTAATGTATATTATCTGATATTTACATAGACTTAATTTTGGATTCAATGGTTTCTTTTTACTGTATCTGTAAAAATGTATTTTAGTATGAACACTCTGGAGTTTCCTAGCTCTACTTTTTTTCCAAATTTATTATATTTGCAGGGATTTTGTTGGATATAAATTCTCTGATGTTGAACAAAGTTTGAGCAATAGCTTCAGGGCTTGTCTCTAATACAACAAAATCTGCATTACAAGTAAAGTTACTACAACTCTCTTTATGCTTGTGATGTTTGTCTTCAAAATAAGCCCTCTTCAGCACTTTAAAGGCTTATATTTTCTAAAGAATCTTTTAAGAAAAATTACACTTTTGATGCTTTTATTAAGTATAAACTCTCTGATGTAGAGTAAGATTGTGAACAGACAGTAACCACTTTTTTACTTTCTATTTGTACACTTAAAATATGTGTTCCTGTGTAATAAAATATGAGCATTGTTTAAAAGTTTTGCCACATTGTTCATACTTGTGGTTTTCTCCAGTATGAATTATCTTAGCTAGAACCAACTGTGACAACCATTTAAAGGCTTTGTCACGTTATTCACACTTCCATGATTTCTCACCAGCACTATTTCTTTTATGTTTGGAAATGTCTGAGGTGTTGTCACAGCATTATCAGAACTTTTGGGTTTGTAGAGTTTCTCTTCAGTATGAATCATCTTACGCCTGCTAAGAATTGAGGACTAAAGGCTTTGCCACATTCTTTATACTTGTAGGGTTTCTCTCCATTATGAATTATCTTATGTCTAGTAAGGTTTGAGGACTGCTTAAAGCTATACCACATTCTTTACACTTGTAGAGTTTCTCTCCAGTATGAATTGTCTTATGTGTAGTAACGTTTGGAGATTGATTAAAAGCTTTGCCACATTCCTCACATTTGTAGGGTTTCTCTCCAGTATGAATTACCTTATGTTTACAAAGAGTTGACAACTGTTTAATAAGCTTTGCCACATTCTTTACATGTGTAGGGCTGCTCTCCAGTATGAATTCTCTTATGTGTAGTAACGGTTGAGGATTGGATAAAAGCTTTGCCACATTCTTCACATTTGTAGGGTTTCTCTCCAGTATACATTCTCTTATGTGCAGTAAGGTGTGATAACCAGATAAAGTCCTTGCCACAATCTTAACATTTATAGAATTTCTCTTCAGTATGAATTATATGTAGTAAGGGTTGAGGATTGGCTAAAACCTTTGCCACAGTCTTCACATGTGTAGTGTTTCTCTCCAGTATGAATTCTGTTATGTGTAGTAAGGGTTGGGAACCGGTTAAAAGCTTTGCCACATTCTTCACATTTGTAGTGTTTCTCTCCAGTATGAATTCTGTTATGTGTAGTAAGGGTTGAGGACCGGTTAAAAGCTTTACCACATTCTTCACATTTGTAGGGTTTCTCTCCAGTATGAATTTTCTTATGTCTAGAAAGGGTAGAGGAACAGTTATAAGATTTGCCACATTCTTTACATTTGTAGGGTTTCTCTCCAGTATGAATTACCTTATGTCTAGTAAGGTTTGAGTACTGGCTAAAAGCCTTGCCACAGTCCTCACATTTGTAGGGTTTTTCTCCAGTATGAATTTTCTTATGTGAAGTGAGGTATGCAGACCGGGTAAAAGCTTTGCCACATTCCTCACATTTGTAGGGTTTCTCTCCAGTATGAATTCTTTTATGTATAGTAAGGTATGAAGATCGGATAAAAGCTTTGCCACACTTTTCACATTTGTAGGGTTTCTCTCCAGTATGAATTCTCTTATGTGCAATACAGTATGAGAATCGCTTAAAGGCTTTTCCACATTTTTCACATTTGTAGGGTTTCTCTCCAGAATGAAGTCCCTTATGTTTAGCAAGTTGTGAGGACTGGCTAAAAGCTTTGACACAGTCTTTACATTTGTAGGGTTTCTCTCCAGTATGAATTCTCTTGTGTGTAGTAAGGTTTGTAGATTGGTTAAAAGCTTTGCCACATGACTCACATTTGTAGGGTTTCTCTCCAGTATAAATGATCTTATGTCTATTCAGGTGTGAAAACTGCTTAAAGGTTTTCCCACATTCTTCAAAGTTGTAGAGTTTTGTTTCAGTATTAATTATTTTACAGGTAGAAAGGCTTGAGGTCCCATTATAGGCTTTGTCACATTCTTTAAATTTGCAGGGTCTTTCCCCAATATGAATTATTTTATGTTGAGCTAAGTGTGAAAGCGTGCAAAATGACTTTTCACAGTCTTTCCATTTGAAAGAGTTATTTCCAGTTTGTCTTATCTTATGTCTGTTTGAATTTGAAAATTTATCAGAGACTTTCACAAATTTGTTACATTGAAATATTTTGCACTGGGTAGTTGTCAAACACTGGTTAAGTCCATTGTAACATTCTTTGTGCAACTTCCACTCATCCATGCTTTGACAACATTTTCTTAACTGTAAATTTTCATGTCCACATTTTTTATATCTTCTCAGTATCATTTTTTGGAAACAATTTTTTATGTCCTGCTTTGGCCAAAGGTCTTGGGCAAAATAAGAACATACAACTGAAAGAAATAATAGTAACAAATTACTCCACTTACTAGACTCAGATGAATATATTTTACAAATCTTACCTACAAAATTATACAAACTACATCACAAGATGGCACAGGAAAATATTACAGGCCAATGTTTTTTCACAGACATGTAAATGTAACAAAAACATACAGACCAAATTACATTTGTAAAAAATTAAAGTAACTGTGTGTAATGCCCCTGGTGTGCCCGATGCAAAGAGCAACATAGAAGAAAAGTCTGTTACGTTTACCCAACACAGATCTTCCTGCTTCTCAATATAACATAGTGACTTGAAATAAATTGCCAACTCCTGATTTCTTTTTTAAAACTCAAGTAAAATACTGCCATATTCATCTTTATTTCTGGATGGTAGGGTCTTTTACAGATACTGGTTCCTGTCTCTCATAAAAAGTTCTGAAATAGTGGTATTTTATCAAATGACAGCTGAAACAAAAGGTAAGGTTTAAAGCAGCAGAAAGACTGTGGTATCACAGACAGCAAACAATTGTAGCAAGTGATTATTGGTTATTAAAAAAACATAAATTGTCTGAATGTTGTGGTTCACACCTGTAATACTAGCACTTTGGGAGGCTGAGGTGGGGAGATGGCCCTCAGGTCAGGAGTTCGAGACCAGCCTGGACAACATGGTAAAACCCTGTCTCTACCAGAAATACAAAATTAGCTGAGCATGGAGACACATGCCTGTAATCCCAGCTATTTGAGAGGCTGAAACAGGAGAATCACTTGAACCTGGGAGGCAGAGGCTTCAGTGAGCTAAGACCATTTCACTGCACTCCAGCCTGAGTGAAGGACTGAAATTCTGTCTCAACAACAGGAAGGAAGGAAGGAAGGAAGGGAGGGAGGGAGGGAGGGAGGGAGGGAGGGAAAAAAAAGAGAAAGAAAGAAAGAGAGAGAGAGAGAAAGAAATAAAGAAAGAAAAAGAAAGAAAGAAAAGAGAGGAAAGAAAGAAAGAAAGAAAGAAAGAAAGAAAGAAAGAAAGAAAGAAAGAAAGAAAGAAGGAAGGAAGGAAGGAAGGAAGGAAGGAAGGAAGGAAGGAAGGAAGGAAGGAAGGAAGGAAGGAAGGAAGGAAAAGAAAGAAAGAGAAAAGAAAGAAAAGAAGAAAGAAAAGAAGGAAGGAAGGAAGGAAGGAACAAGGAAGGAAGGAAGGAAGGGGAAAAGAAGGAGAAACATGAATCAACTCCTTTAAAAATTTTTAAAAATCACAGACAAGAAGAAAGTCTTGGAAGCTGCAAGGTAAAAGTAATGTGTCATTTACAAATGCAGTGTTAGAAAATTTTACACAAGGCACATCCTAACAACATGTTTAAGAGACTCCTAGAATCTCTAGCCAAGATAATTGTTTTCAGACTATGTCAGAAAAAAACTTTATTTTAAAGACTGTGACAGGTAGCTTTTTTAAAATATTCAAATCTCAAAGATTACAAAACAGGGCAATATTATTTTATCAAAAATATTATATAATTTTCAGAAAGAAATCATAAAAAGGTGTATACATTAACTTTAAACACTGATAAAAAATTGAGTAATACTGAATGAGTGAAACAGGAACACAGACTGCTATAGAAAACCAAAAAAAGAATAAAAACAAAATATCTAAAAAAAATTTTTTTTAATTTTGGGGGTAAAAAATTTAAAAATCAGTAACAGGAAAATCCCAAAAGTTAAAAAAAAAAAAAGAAAGAAAGAAAGAAAAGACATAAAAGTGAAGAGGTTCAACAAACAAATTAGGATACACGCAAAAATATTTATTAAAAAAAAAATATATATATATATAAGCACATTTTCAAAAATTACAGACAAGTAAAAGGTCTTGGAAGCTGAAAGATAAAAGTAATGTGTCATTTACAAACACAGTGTAAGGACATAACCAGTAAACTATCAATAAAAATTTTACAGGCCAGAAAGAAACCGGGTGACACAGTCAATGTTCTGATGGGGAGAAAAGGCTATCAAGGGAGAATAGTAACCATCAACAAATCTGTCCTGCCAAAAGATCAGCCTGGCCAACACGGTGAAACCCTATCTTTACTAAAATATAAAACTTAGCCGGGTGTGCCTGTAGTTCCACCTACTCCATAGGCTAAAACAGGAGAATCGCTTGAACCCAGAAGGGAAATGCAGTAAGTTGAGATCGCGACGCTGCACTCCAGCCTGGCAACAGAGTGAGACTCAGGGGGGTGGGGGTGGGGAACCTTTGAAACAACCGATTTCCAAAAAATATATTGGCGCTGCATGTGCTGTACACATAAAAGATGCTGAAAAACTTTCTTAAACTGAAAATTAAAAAATTCAAGAAAACAACACATAAAATTACATTATTTTCTGGGAAAGATATGCACATACACAAAAATAGAATACCATAATAATTCAGAAATAATTGTAAATTATTCTCTAATATTTGAAAAAATAAAGGCACAGAAATTGCAAAGACCTGATAATGAATATCCAATGTAAAAACATAATTAGAAACATCAATGACAAATTTCAGGACAGATGTTATGAGAAAAAAATTTTTATTCAACTGAAGTTTATTTTGTACCAAATTAAAAATGTTGTTTCTTACAAGTTTTATGTAACCCCCAAGGTACAAAAATATATATATATATCTTTTTTTGTGTATACATACACAAAAGTGAATTAGAAATAAGTAAATTAAGCATATCAACGTAAAACTCTGAAGACACAGAAAAAGAGAGGAAATGAGAAACAAAGATGAAATAATCAAATAATTAAAAACATAACAGTATGTCGTTTGCTTTTAGAAAATTATATATATATATATATATATTTAGCTTTCAAATAAAGAGAAGTACATTCAATAAATAAATTTATTAAAAATTTAAAAACCAGGCCATGCGTGGTGGTTCAGGCCTGTAATCCCAACACTTTGGAAGGCTGAGGCGGGCCAATCACAAGGTCAACAGATCAAGACTATCCTAGAGATGGTGAAACCCCATCTCTACTAAAAATACAAAAATTAGCTGGACATGATGGTGCAGGCCTGCAGTCCCAGCTACTCAGGAGGCTGAGGCAGGAGAATCACTTCAACCAGGGAGGTGGAGGCAGAAGTAAACTGAGATCACATCACTGCACTCCAACCCAGCAACAGCACAAGACTCCATCTCAAAAAAAAAATAATTGAAAACCAAGATCTAACTTTTTTTCTCTACAAAAGTCAGTTGAGATCTAGTGATAAAAAATACTGAAAGGGGCAAGATGGAAGTAGACATTTCATGCAAGTGTGGGTCAAATGAGAGCAGAAAAAATTAAAATATTATACAAGGTATATCTTAAGTCAAAAACTGTCATATTTTTAATATGTACTTCAAGTCAAATCTCCAAGGAGACAAAAAAAGACATTAAAACTTACAGATTTAGGCCAGGCACAGTGGCTCACATTTGTAATCCCAGCACTTCGGGAGGCTAAGGCAGGCAGATCACTTGAGGTCAGGAGTTCAAGACTGGCCTGGCCAACATGGTGACACCCTATCTCTACTAAAATCAGAAAAATTAGCCAGGCATGCTGGTAGGTGCCTATAATCCTAGCTTTCTGGAAGGCTGAGGAAGGAGAATGCTTGAACCCAAAAGGCAGAGGTTGCAGTGAGCGGAGATCACACCACTGCACTTCAGCCTGGGCAACACAGTGAAACTCTGTATATATATATATTTTTAAAAAGTATAAATTTATTCACTGGAAACCTACGACAAATTTGTATACACATGTGTGGATGTGTGTGCCTCACATTAGGGCTTCAAACATATAAAGCAAATACTGACAGAATAAGAGAGAGAAATAGAGAGCAATATAATTGTAGTAGGGTATTTCAATACTGCACTTTTTGTAATAAACAAAAAACAAGAATATTAGTAAGGAAATAGAAGAACTGCAGGAATTATAAGACAATTATTTGTAACAGAGGTATAGAAAACACTTCTTAACATCAGGATACACATGATTTTCAATAGCTAATACAACATTTTCCTTCATTGAACACCTCTTAGGCCAAAGAGAGAGTCTTACCAAACTTTTAAAAGCTAAAATTTTATAAATGACTTCCTATCATCAAAATGAAATGAGTATCTAATCAAATAAAAAAACAACTAAAAAATTCACAAAAACAACACACTCTTGAGGATGCCCTTCTGAAAGGCTGGAAAAGGGAACACTGTAATGATGTTCACCCTTCTCAATGCAATCTACAGATTTAATGCAAAGTTTTTCAAATTTCTCAATGGATTTTTTTACAAAATAGAAACAACAATCCTGAGTATACAGAATCTCGAAAGACAATAAAGTAGCCCAAAATATTGAAAACAAAACCAAACAATGTTGAGGGCATTACAGTTTCTGATTTCAAAACAAATTACAAAGCTACACAATTAAAACAATTTGGTATGAGTATAAAGGTAAACAAGTAGGCCGGGTGTGGTGGCTCACGCCTGTAATCCTAGCACTTTGGGAAGTTGAAGGGGGTAGATCATGAGGTCAGGAGTTTGAGACCAGCCTGGCCAACACGGTGAAACCCTCTCTCTACTAAAAATAAAAATAAAAAATAGCTGGGCATGGTGGCGTGCGCCTGTAGTCCCAGCGGATCAGGAAGCTGAGGCAGAAGAATCACTTCAACCAGGGAGGCAGAGATTGCAGTGAGCTGAGATCACGCGATTGCACTCCAGACTGGCTGACAGAGCAGGACTTCACCTCAAAAACAAAAACAAAAACAAAAAAGTAGACTCATGTTGTAGTGAGCCAAGATTGTGCCACTGCACTCCAGCCTGGATGACAGAGTGAGACTGCATCTCAAAATTAAAAAAAAAAATTTTGAATGCAATAGAATGCAGCACATAACTCTCACATATATGGTTATATGAAGTCATCTGGACACCAATGATTATTTTAGTATTGTTACTGAAAGCCAATAGGTAAAAGAATGCAAATTTCTGTCACCAAATTGTACAATAAATA